GGGTCATGATTAAGAATTAGGCAGAAAAAGAGATAGATGATAGATAGATGATAGATAGATGATAGATAGAGATAGATAGATATAGATATAGAGATAGATAGATAGATAGATAGATAGATAGATAGATAGATAGATAGATAGATAGATAGATAGAACTTGATAAAGTCAGTCTAATAAATAAAGCACCTTCATTTGACAAATATTTTAAAAGATTTCATTATTACATGGGATTTAAGACTGGAACTTGGGAAATTTCCCATGCAGATATTATTAAGCATGTGACACAGTTCCTACTTTTTCTCCCTGTTCTTACCGGCTGTATGTCTTCTGTTCCCAAATTACTGAATTACAAATAATACAAGTGAATTCACGATATCAGTGAAAATCATTCTTGATCTTGCATCTCAGTTGGAACTCTCCAGAAGAGAAAAATATCTGACTATGAGCCAGCACAGACATAGCACTTCTGTGCTCTTCTTAAAGCAGTCCCAGGCTTCTGTATCAATCAGGGGAGGGGGAGTTGATTTTGCTTTAAGGGATCCTTTCACTGAAGTCAATATGACTCTTAAAGCAGAGGTGCAACAGAGACACATGGCTAGATCAGAATAGACCTGAAATAGTATTATTCCATCTGAAAATTTAAGAGACTGTTATAAACCAAAGTTCCATGTATGAACAGAATAGGTATTGAACTGGAACTGTCTTTCTGAAGGTAAATCAAACATAGAAACAATAGCTGTTTATCAGAATTACCTCAAAATAAGTAATCATCTTTCTTTTTAAAAAAAAGAATATATTGTGATGAAGTTAGTATTTGTCAAGAATTGAACCTAACCATATTTTGGGGGATATGTTCTTTATAATACATTAATTCCCAGGTCAGAGATGAATGAAAAATGATCCTCTTAAACATAGTTCACCTCTTGTGTCATTCACTGTCTCTTCATAAATGGATAACAGACCTGTTGCCAAATAAATTAATTGTGTAACTAATGTTAAACTGAAGAGTTGCTGCTTATAGTATCACCTTGTTCTTGGATGCCCTCTACGGTAACAGAAATTCATGGATGCATTGTGACGCATCCGATTGTAATAATCGTAGTATTATTTTTGAGGCAAATTTGATTTATTTTTTTAAAAGTACACAACTGATAGTTGAAATGTGGTCTTAGACTAATACGATTTTCACTTTTGTCTTGTTGTGTGCCAAAAAAACAGGTTATAAAATGAGAGAAATGCCCCCTTTCTGTTTCTTCTTAAACAAAATGATGATTTGCTTTTATTTCTTCCACTCTTTTTCTAAATGTAGATCTTCCTGAGGCAGCATCTCTCCTGCTGTGGCCAAAATGTGGAACTGCTTCTTTAAGCCTCTTTGATTAATTTCAACTCTGATATTTGCCAGGCTACTGATACTAATGTAATCCTATAGCAAAGTTGGTGTAAAACTGTAATGCACCCTGGGAAAAGACTTCCAGGCTTTTGATGAAAAAATGATGAATGATATGAACCATGAATGCACTCATGTTCCATTTGCCAATGTAAACCAAGTGGGGAGCAGTGGAATTTAACATATGGAAAAGGCAGTAAGCTGGATAAACTTTAAATTTGGAAGGGCAATCTTGCTTGTAAATTTTAGCTCCCAAGATTCTCTGCCAAAAGTTAAGCTTCAGCGATGGATCATTGCTCAGCTTGTTCATCCTGTGCCAAATGTAGCAAGATCTGAAATCCCCTTTGTGAAACAAAATAATATCAGGCCCTCAGCGTTTTGATTGCTCAGTGTTTTATCACAAATGTTTTGAAGGAACTTTTGAAATAATTATACAACTGTTGCTCAGGATAGGATCTGCAAGATCCATTGTGACCCTGATAGAGATTGTTGCCTAGCATTTGTTTATACTGTATACATGAAGTAGAAGACCACAACATCACAAGATTGCCTGTTATGTAGGTGAACAACTCTTAGCCAAACCATGTTTTCTCCCAATGTCTAAATAAAATCTGCTCCTTGCTTCCCTCTGCCCCCACTTTTGGTCATACACTTTAGAGCAGTGTTTCTCAACCTTGGCAACTTGAAGATGTCCGGACTTCAACTCTCAGAATTCCCCAGCCAGCGAATGCTGTTTCATTTTCTGGAATAAATTGTTAACACCATTACTTTTTATTTTTTTTCTTTTAAAACTCTTTTAACTGCTTGTCTTCCTTCCTTTTTTCTGGGAATGTTCTTTGATCGATATATACAAAAAAAAAAACCTCTACTGATTTTAGAATGATAGCGCATTCAAGGTATTGTTCACAGTATCATAAAACAAAACTCAAATATAATATTTAACTAATAATAAAATTAATAAGCCCCGGTGACAAAAGAAATACAACATTTCTGAAACGCACTTTCAGAAGATCAATTCATATAATCAAGCATCAACTTAGAATCAATGTCATGATCACTTTAAGATCTGGAAGAAATTCCTTTCCTGCCAAATCAAAATAATCTGGATCAAAATTAATAAGACACGTATAGTTAAAATGATGTTAACTCAATTAGTAAACATGCTGTATTTCAGGTTATTATGTTAATAGTGTGTTTCAGTCATTTCTGCCACTGGCTGTGTTTTAAACAGCTGCCTTACAATGCTTCTTAGAACCACAAGGAAGCTGCTGCAATCTTTGCTAATTTAAAGTTTTCCTTGCTTTACATCAGACACTTTGATTCTTTGTATATAAGACCAGTGCTTCTCTTTCTCACAACCCTCTCCTTTGCCACCCTGCATCCTTGGTTTATTTGCTTGAAAGAAGGAAGTCTTGATTTCAATATAAACCTTTGAAAGAAAAAGAATCACTTATGAACTTCTGCAACAGGGGTTTAAACTGAGCACTTTCTTGAAAATTCAGTAGAGGAAAAGTTTACGAGACATTAGAATAAAGTCATGATGATGCCAAAATCCCTCCTTGTTGCAAAAGGCTATGGGTTCTACGTAAGGGAATGGTTTCTCATATTCCATCCATGTTGCATCTAAAATAATTTTGTGTCAAGATTGTGTCAGTTGCTTTTGAGACCTTTAACTCTTTGGATGTTGTTGTTCTGTGGTGGACAGTTTCTTGTTTAACAGGTTTCCTCTCCTGTCTCTAAAAACTTTGGTTTCTTTCTATAAAGGATGAGAGGCAATAATAGAATCAATGCCTGCCTGCTATTGGCCAGTTAAATTCACAGCTGTCTTTCCCAGCATTCCTGACTAAAAGTTAGAATTAAATTTAGGGTTAAAAAGAACTTTAAGAGAAACAAACAAACAAAGAGAAGTAGTAGTTGTTTGTCAAATGAACATTTGTTGGTTCTGCATGGTAAAGTCCATTTTACCATGTAAAATTCCCAGGGACCTTTAATGCAAGCCTTTGTACAAAATTATCTCTGTATCATGATTGTTGTCCCTTTTTGTTACATTGTAACCTTAAGAAAATTATCAAGTGAACTCATTAGACTGGCAATTCACTAAGCACAAACAGTGGGAAGTAGTGGGGCTTAGAGCCACAATTATGTCTACCATTTTGGATCCCTTGGTTCTCCTCTTATGGAAATCTAAATACGTTTCTAGCATGCCCGAGGACTTTCAATACATATTTGTGCATTAAGATCAGTGGTTGAAGGAAATTGTAATTGAATTGTATTCATCCTTTTTTAAATGCTTTTTTGGTAAACTGAATTGACCAGTTTGCCTTTGAAAAAGCATATTGCAACATGTTCTAAAATTATTAATGGAAAACAAATATATTTGCAGATAAATCATTGTTATTCTTACTCTCTGATTTGATTCCTAGTATCTAATAAAAAAAATCCCTCCTGGATGATGTCATTCTAAATGTTTTTTCCTCCCTAAAGCTCATCTTGGATTCCTCCATTATCACTATTTACTAGAAAGTAACGGGGCCATCACCTGCTATCAAATCCTATTTTCCTTCATACCCACAAGAACTTCAGTTACACTAAGTCAACAATTTTGACATTTTCGCCCTTTCATTCTAATTATGAATGCATTGCAATACAATGCGATACATTGATTTCTCTGCATATATTCAATCAACTCACAAGATCAGACTACCTTCATTCAAATTTCTTGCATCCTTCCCCTTTCTCTTATTATAGACACACAACATATCCAAGTGGCAATAAGACTCGGTTGCCATCCTTAGTCATACCTGTGCCACATACCTTGCTAAAGGTAAGGTCAATGCGGGTCATTTTGGCCATTATGCCACAAGCAGAACCAAATTTCAAATGTACTCATGTTCTTCTATGCAGTCTGGGCCTATAATCTAGGGTTACTTTGCAAGCCATCGTACTTCTGCTTGCATTCCACCAATTTATCCTTTGATATTATATGATACCTCAATATTCACTAACGTAAACATTCAGATGTCTTTTCTGCATAGATAGATGCGGACATAATAGCTACTACTGAGAACAATTACATGTGTAGCTTGCAGGTTTCATAGACAGCTTGAAAAACAAATAAAGAGAAGCAGGTTCTTCTGTTCATGTCTTATTTATGGTAGGATTATTCTTCTTTACTAATTTCAGTGAAATTGAGGGAAAGACTGTTTTTTAAAAATATGAACAGTAAAAATAAAGACTCTGAGCATTGAATCTTGAGAAAGTAAATGTGAGTTCAAACATGTATGTTAACATATATTAAGTTTGTGTGTGTGTGTGTGCGTGTGCGCCTTTCACTATGTTGTTTGAAGAATGCAAGGAGAAGTACTGGTCAGACATCATTTATCTCTCAGATTTTCTGGGAAAGGTAGATTTTTAAATCACTAATATTGGATGAGAAATAATGTGTAATCAAGGTAAAGACTACAGGACTCTCTCTTCTCGCTTAATGGTTCATAATTCTGGTAAAACAATCCTGGAAGCCATTGGTTTTTCATAACACTTGTTCTTTCTGGAAAATCCTTCCTTCCCTTCCAGTACCATCCTCTGATCCTTTTGTTGTATGTTCCCCCCACAGCATGCGATTGCCATCCCGTGGGTGCAGCTGGAAAAACCTGTAATCAAACTACAGGGCAATGTCCCTGCAAAGATGGTGTGACGGGCATCACTTGTAATCGATGTGCCAAAGGCTACCAGCAAAGCAGATCTCCCATTGCCCCCTGCATAAGTAGGTGGATGATCTTTTTGACATCTATACCATAACATAATTAATCCTGAGTCTGGTTTCTTTACTAACACCTAACTGGATAGACTCAGTTTTATTTAGACTGTGTTTGGCTACTCATACAGTACAGTATTCATGGGTGTTATTGGTATGTGAACCCAGTAAAAGTGCAATTTTTCAGAGAGAGATCTGCGGCAACACACAGGGGAGAGCAAAGCCAATAGCAAAAAAAAAAAAAAAAAGAAATATGAATTTTGAAATCACACTGGATTTACTATAATTCAGATTCATTAAAGGTATAATGTGTGCAATAGCTGGGTTGTGATGTTTTACATTCATTTTGCATATACATTTAGAAGGAGGTGATATATATATTTATCAGCACAAATAAAACACAAATATAACAAAGGCAACAGTAAAAATATTGGGTTTCTGTCGTGATGGACTCTTGTGANAAACACAAATATAACAAAGGCAACAGTAAAAATATTGGGTTTCTGTCGTGATGGACTCTTGTGACGAGCCGATTGGCAGATGATGGAAGCAGTTAGCTTCCTCCCATAATTGGGGCTTACCAGGGTTGTGACACTAAATACACACACACACACACACACACACATACATATACATATATACATACACACACATATGACACAATACATACATACATATACATATACATATACATATACATATACATATACATACATACATACATACATACATACATACATACATACATACATACATATATATATGTTAGTTATGTGATCTGAATAGGTTTGAAGGTTAAGATGTGTTATTTGAATGGCAGAATATGTATTTTGTTTTTCCCATTAACTGTATACTGATACTATTGTTACTTATGCCTCAGGTAAGATCCAAGTTAAAATATTAAACTGCCCAACTTCCCTCATTCTTAGAAGCTGCTAAGAAACAAAAAAAAATGTAGCAAATTGTAAAACATAAAAATGTAGTCCTATGATAAAGTGATAGAGTGATAAAGCTAATGGAACTTTGTCTTTTTAAATTGGATTCTATTTACACTATTTCACATCAATCTCTCATCTTAATGGATATTTAGTAAAAGAGCAATAATAGTAGCCTACAATTCTAATTCTGCAAAATCTCCTATTTCATGACTGACATGCATATAAACAGTGAATCTGTCCTAACTTGCTTACATAATCACTTTAGTAAACAAATGATGTTGCTTTCAGATCCATATTACGAATGGAGGGGAGTTGATGACTAGCTATGAGGTAGTTATGACTTCAAGAGAGATGCATCCATGGATGTAGCTATGTGGTCTTATTGGAATATCATCCTTCTTTTTAGAGAACTCATTGATGTCCAAGGCTTTTCTTCATGTACATAGTTTACATGGTGCAAAGCCTGCAAAGAAAAATCCAGTTGTACCCTACTCTTCACCTATGTGAAGATGCCATTTTTTGTTCTAGATGCCATTCCATATAACTGAAAGTCAGGTTTCTGGAGAGTTGGGTCACCTTTTCCCAGGTGGAAGCTCAGAGTGACTTTGGGGCAATCACTGTTTCTGAGCCCAATTTAGTGATGGTTGATAGGAGAGGCGAAACCACATGTGCCTCCTTAGCTGCCAGAGTTACATTCATTTACATGTACAGGAGAAAATAAAGTGATACATTTGGGAGTAACATGAAATGAAGCAAATCCTACTTGTGCACTTGACTTCAGTATGAGAGGTTGAGAATCCAACTGTTTTTAATCTCTTTATCAACATGGCTTCATCCAGTTGATGAGGATCATACTACTACCAGTGGATATTGTGATCAAACCTTGGGAATTGTGTTCTCTTTTATATTTAGGTAAATATTGGTTGTTGCCATGAATGAGGGAAGAAGCTCCAGCAGCCAGTTGGTTATAGGAATGTAAAAAGCCCTCAAAAAACAAAAGTAGTTCTTATTAATCGTGCTGCATGTATACTAATTGCTGCAGAATAATGAAAGCATTCATTAATGTCGTCCTCCCACCCTGCTCGCAACCGCTGCTACTGTAATCAGATTTATTGTGGTGTAATTCTTAACAATGTTTTACTCGGCTGTGTTGGTTTTTAAGAAATGTTGTTATAAAGAGCCAAGCTACATTTATAGCAACTTTGAAGAATAACAATGGAGCAGAAAACTTTTATATTGTGCCAGTACATTGTTTCTTTGGCTCTAATGCAGAAAAAAGAGAATATGGTTGAAAGAAACAAGTCTTTGCTAGAGACCCAAAACAAATTCTTAAAATGCATTTCTAATAAACGGAATTATGTATCCCAAAATATATTCCTGTACTATTGTTCAGATGGAAGTATGTAATACCACTGTTTTCCTGATGCTAAGCAGACATGGCTGCTGCCTGATTGAAGAAACAATAGTGTCATATAGTCCTTGAATATTATTGATTAAATTCACTATCACCATTGTCAGACATACCTTGCTGAAAATATCTACAAGCACTTATAGTATTATGAGAGACAGACTATCATCAATATACTTTTATATAAAGTTATCTGTGAATCTGAGAGCGGAATTAATAATAATACAAACAAATTCTAACTCCAGAGAGTAGAAAACTCATATCAGAACGCTACTGGAAAGAATGGAATAAGAATTTCAAACTATTTTTTCCCCTTTGGGATTTATTGCTTTTAGCTGCAGAAGATTAACATAGTGAACTCTCTAATGGAGCAATTAATGTTATAGGCAGTCCTTGTCAATTAAACATATCTTTAACTACAAATCTATTTTTAGCTTAGTTCACCCAATGGTTGTACAAACAGTATTGTTGTACTTATAGTTTTATTCATTCTAAAATGAGATAGGAAACAGAGAAAGTTGGAGAATAGGATTTTATTGCTCTTTTAATAAAAACAAAATACATGCTGCAGATGCATACACTTTGTCTATAAACTATATATTTCACCAAAAAGCAAAAGATATCTTAAATGCATATTATTTTATTATGTGAAAGATAATCAGCATCTAGAAGTTAAAATTATAGCCATTGGATACGAACCCAATCTCTCCTTTCATATCAGAATGGTGATATTAACTTTACTGATAGAAAGATAAAAGTCTCTCTTTCTTCAGAAAGACAGCTATTTTAAGTACTGCTGATTTTATATGGAAAAGTGGAAATTAAAGAGAACAATTAGTCCCTGAATTACTGCTTCCCCATCAATGTAGAATATTCTTAGAACTGCCATGAAGGGGAAAAACAGTTTCAATAATGGAACCTCTAAATTGTGTGGAAAATGGGCCTCAAATGCATAACACCAGGTTTTTGTTTTTGTTTTTGTTTTGAAATTCCTAGAAAAAGATATGATTCCTAGAAATATGAATGTTGCTTTCAGTTACCAAATTTGTGGGTATATATCAAGATTAGTATAGATGTTGCTACTGTTTGCTATGATAGCTAGGTGGCAGCCTCTCCTGAATGTAATTTTGTGTAGATGGTGATTCCAAATTATGGGGTAAGTTATTAGCTTCTTCACCATTGTGTGGCCTAGAGATGATCTTGACACCTCTCTGAAATGATCTTTGCAGTCACCTTTCTCGTAGTATAAAATTGCCCAATTCCTTAGCTAGAAAAGTAAATAATACATTTCCCTATTTGTTTGTTCTTTTTTCTGTCCACTTTTTCTTTTTGCCCACAGAGATTCCTGTTGTTCCTCCTACCACTGTGGCCAGCAGCACAGAAAAGCCTGCAGGTATACTATTATCATTGTCATTGTGATTTTTTAAATTACTATTATTATATCACCATCACGATCATCATTAAATAGTAAATTGAATGCTTAAATATTTCAATTGAATGCTTAAATTTAAAGCATATTGAAATTGGTTTAACCTGAAACATGTGCTATCTAAGCTTGTTTTGGATATTTAATAATTTGCTAAAAAAATGCCTGCTTTCATGACCATGTATGTTACTAAAGAATATGGTATTAGAATTAGAACAGAATAGAGCTGAAAGGGACCTTGGAAGTCTTCTAGTCCAGCATCCAACTCAAGCAGGAGAACTTACACCATTTCAGTAAATATGTAATACTATATGTAATATAGTAAAAATGTAATACTTATTATTTCCTAAAGTATGTAGATCTCTGGCCAGGGCCACCTCTGTCTGATTTGGAAAGTATCAACTAATAAATAAAATATAGCAAACAAATTTTTTTTACAAGGCTCCACAGAACCAGGCAGATCAGTTTAAAGCACCAGGTTTATCTACAAAAGCCTATATGTGATAATTTGGCTTTTGTTATAAGGTTGTTTACTATAAAGTAGCCAAGGAAAGAGAAGCAATTTATTAGCAAAGTCAGTGCAGATCACACAAGGCTAGTCTAACAATCTGCTGAGATGTAAAAAAAGCAGGCTTAGTATTTGTTTTGGTTTCTTTTTATGTGACTTTGACATGTGGGATGCGTGTGTGCTTACCGTGGTTTGAGATATTGGAGTAGCAGTGGCATATAGCCTTTGTAAGTAGACATATTACCTACTGCTTGCAACCCTGGGTAACAGGATTGGAACTCCCAGCCAATGTGCTGATTATGGTTTATAGAGGTTTCCCTCTGTCTCACTAATATCTTTCTTTGACATCATTATTTTACACCTCAAACTCCGCATTCATTTCCCAGGCCAGGGAAATGGGAACATTCTATAGATAAGAGAACTTTTCCCATTATGAAGACTTTAAAGTAGTAGGTAGACTAGTCCCATCTTATGAACCATGAGAAACAAAACCTAAACAACCTACACAGATGATAACGGAGGTTTTTTTTTAAGTGTTTTATTATCATAAAGAGATGACATTTTCAAGAGAATGATTGCTGCTGGGCAAGGAAAAATAACCCACTTGATCATTTTGCATAATCCTTGGAGCTACATCTCATTTCCTGCTGAATTTTGATCAAGTAATTTGTCACCTATATTATTCTTTGAGATTGAAGTCCAAACAATATGAAATGAATACAAACAATATGAAATGATATAAAAAAAACCACCCTCCCTACATATTATAAGGTATAATACTAACATGTACCCCAAATCATCTCCTATTTTCTCCTAATCATTCAGTCATTGTTACAAACCCTATCTGCTTTTTTGGGAGGGGGTATATTATAAAAAAAAGCTTGTCCCATTAAGTCCTATTTCAATTAAATTAACTTCAGTGATGTAAAATTATTGTTCCAAGTGAACAATACAGTGCATGAACCATGTTATGAAATCCAGCATGAGTTTCTTCCTGGTGATATTCATGAATCTTCTATTTCATATTTTTAATGCAAGGTTTTTTTAGTGACAGTCTTTTTTGCTCATACATTAATATAAGGTTAGCATTGTTTAAAAAGCTAGAGTGGATACTTTGGTCAATCAGTGTGGAAATATTAACTAGAAACTGTTCAGTGTTGTGGAGTTAAGTTTCCTGGACATATTAGCATGTTCCTAATATTTCCGACGAAGTTAGGAGTAGATTATTATGAGATATGATCTATTTTATCTTGTCTTTACAATGCCTTATTTCCAATAGCAATGTAATTATGCAAATGCATAATATTTCTGCAGGGAATATTTCTGTTTTGCCTAGAGATTGACTGAATTTGGACGCTCTTTCCTAATTTTATTCAAATCATATGTATTCAGTCTGTACATGAATGGAAAACTTCAGTCTTATGCTTTTTTTTTGTAAAAGTCCTACTAAATTTGTAAAAATAAAAACCTGGGAGAAATGTATTTTTTACTTTTAAAAGGTCAAAAGTGAAGATTAAGCTTAGTTTTAGAATAAAAAATGAAAAGACTAGTCCTAGTTTTATTTCATAACTCTTTTGTTATTGTTATCCTCTTTGATTATACATTCTTAAAGGAATAGGAGATTAGTAATTCTGGTAAGGAATCCTAATGCCACAATAAGCAATCATAATAGTTACTATAACTGGCAAAAATCAGGAAGGAGATAGTTTATTTGTCCTCCTTTCCAAGGGATAGTAGATTCTGCTTGGAAAAGTTAATCTGTAAGATTAGTTACTATATTCTAAAGAAGAGATAGCCTATAGATGTGCTCAATGATTTTATATTTTTCTGTAAATGATGATACTGTAGTAAGACTACAGGATCATGGTGGAGTTGAAAAGGACCAAAAGAATCCTCTAGACCAGTGATGGGCAACCTTTTTGGCGTGGTGTGTCAAAAATCGGCAAAAAATCGAGCATAACTCGCGTTG